TCGTTAAATGCATGGTTTTTCTTGCCCAACTTTCTTTTCAAAGCAAAGGTCAATTATGCAGGAAGTGAGTTATATTTCAAGAATACGTTTGCCATTTTCAACTTTGCGCAGTGACGATCGTAAACGTTAAGGCAGCTGTACGATATAACTTAAATTTGTACATACCCGACGTCGAACCAGGTGGCTTCCTTTGAATTTAACAATTGTCATCGCGAAGCAGACCATGAGCAGGGCTAGGAAGTTGTCCACGCCACTTTTTGCTGCCTTATGCCAGATAGCTGCCGAATTCGGGTGGATTGTTCCGTTCAGTACAGGCAGTGTTTGTGGAATAGTCTGGTAATCATAAATGCCTGCTGAATATAACCCAGGGCGCGAGTAGAACTTTTCAAAACTAAGGTGTTCATAGTCTCTTTTAAATAGATAAATGTGTGGTTTTGAAAGCACGTTGGATAAGATTATAGAGGATTATGCTAACTGTAGGTTCAAAAAAACTATTAACATTCAATAAGTTTTTGCAGGACGTCCTCTCATATTCTCTCCTTCTGAAACGGAAAAATGGAAATTTGATTATCGCGAACAATTGCATCCAGCGTATATCGCTCAGTATATTCGACTCGGAGTGCTGACTTAGGCGGGGATTATTTTCTGGTGATAACACTTCTGCACAGTATCTGCCGTGCATTATGCCCGATTACCTGCCTATTACGCCGGCAGCAGGAATTAGCAAGGACGGAAGGAGGTAGAAACGTACGTAGTGGTTGATAAAGAGAGATAGTCTGTATGCGCCTGCCCCACACATCTGGTCAGCGTCCACTGGATCGGGTTTTGGCAGACGAGCATTTTCAGAAAGGATAAGTAAACTAAAAAAGCAATTTCCGGGTCATTAGAGCGTTTGACTTCTGATCAATAGGTCGTGGGTGCTAGCCTCCGATGGTTCACAAATTTGGGTTGAATATAACTAACCGATAATGGCCATTTCAGTCTCCGTTGTTTTTGACAGCAAAACGAATCTGCCTAATCTACTAGCCGCTTCGCGGATGCTAGTGGGCCTCAAGATTGAGCCACATGGCAGAGCGGGACGCATGAGTTCTGTTAGCGATCGGTGAACGTTGACTTACGAGGATAAGTTTTTATTAGAAACAATAAAGGGACGACCCGGATCTTATCCGAGTAGGCCTTCCATGCAGACAACCGTAATAAGCAGTCCCTGCAACCTGATATTCGATCTAGTCATCCCGTTAATGGAGAAATTGTCATAATGTGAAGCCTGTGAAGCGCATCGTGGTCTACCTACACTACGTTGAATTGTTTATAGCGGAAATGTGGGTTATCTGTTCACCCCACCTGGAGCAGAAGGCCTACCTAATCGATCAACAGCCTAAGGCAGGGATTTAGGGCTGGCAACTGACTCACTCATTTGTGCATGATCAGCTTGACGTACCTCCTGTTAAAACAAATTGTCTCAGCATAAAAAGTACAGGT